GAGAAGGACTGTTGTCGGTGATGGTCACCACCACCGACAACAGTCCTTCTCTGGACTGCACTCACCCGGACGATCGCACTACACTTTCACTTACTTGGTTTTATTGTCTTTCTCACTTTTTTGTTTTGCTTATTTGTTTTACTAAAACTCTCGTGACCCAAGTGTTCCCTTCGTTGATAGTTGACACTTACAAAAAAAATAAAAAAAACAACGAAAAAAGGGAACAAAATGAAAACATTTGGCAACAAAATGAAATCATGGCACGGCAATAATCACAGAGAGTGCTATTGTTTCAAAGACACTAGGCTAAAGATGATTCATGCATCTAAATTTTCTAGGAAGCTTAATCATCCATTCATCGTTAAGTTCTATGGTGCTGCACTGATTAGGGAAGAAGATCGGTTGAAAGTAACACTCCTAATGGAACTCTGCAAGGAAAACTTGATGGGACGTATTTTCCAGAATCAGGACAATATACCTAGTCTGTCCTTAACACCTGGAGCCGAGAGAAGTGTAATTCGATGGGCGAGAGACATCGCCAATGCTCTCGAATTCATACACAGTCAGGGCATTGTTCACAGAGATTTCAAGTTGGAAAACATCATGGTAAGAAGGAAAATGGACACACTTTCAGCATTTAATTGTGGGCATTTTTGTATGAACTTGTCTCGGAATTTGCATGTTCTTAGCTACCACACCTTTGAATTACCTTAATTTGCTAAAACACTTGGGAAAAATTTCATGTTTAAATTTTTTTAGGGACGGAACAATCCTTACTTTCAAAATCAATACTGAGTTTTAGATCTGGGTACGCCATAAAATCCACCTTTTGAAAAAAACAGACCAAATTTCTCCTATATCAGAGTCGCATATGATTAAAAACAGCCCCCATAAATTCACGATGCTAGCTCTGCGCTTACCCTAATCACCCATGGCCTGCTTTGAGTGCACCGCAGGCTTAGCAGTAAAGAGGAAAGAATGGAGTTTTTCAATAGGCGTTGAAGAGTCTTCTACTTCCGTATTTTTACATCCATATGCATTCTACCACAGCTGTCATATGAAGATGATGTCAGGGTCGCTAACATCAGCGTCTCTAAAGAAGCCAAGATGATCACAGTAACAACGCCGGAAACTTTTCACATTGCGCCTGAGGTGATCAGAGCAGGCTTATACGATTGCAAGGCCGATATCTACAGCTTTGGCATAATGCTCTGGGAGATGTGGTATGGCAAGAGAGCCCTTACAAATGTAGAGGGAGACGTGAGAGCGGTAAATGGTCGGAATGCTGAACAGAACAGACCAACGCAAGTTCAAGACAGGAAGAAACCCCTGTCTGGATGGCAAGATTTAATGCAGGCTTGCTGGGATGAAGAAGCAGACAAACGACCAGATGCCATAGGCTGTCATCGGAGGTTGACCATGCTCTACAAGGACACACTTCCTCCCATTTAAACTGTAATAAATGGAAGGGATCTCTGTGTTAGTGTTAAGTTTAAGAGGCGCTGCCTGTAAGGATCGAGCAAAGTTGGTAATTGGGCCAAAAATCACAACTTTCGAACCTTTGTCAGAATAAAGCCTTTGACATGCCTTATTGATTGGCACAATACGTTTTCTTTAATACTCAAAATTGTTATTTTGGGACGTATTCTCTTTGAGCGGACATTAATGGCTGTGAAAACCAAAAAAAGCAACATTTGAAAAATCGGTTTAAAATTTCCAAAACTCTATGTAGCCGGTGAAACCTAATCCAGATCTTGACACGAATCTAAAGATATCAAAAAGATATATTCCATTGGTACCAGTAATGTTTTTTCCTAGGAAATGTATGTTAAAAGATGGCTCCTTTTTCCTTACACTTGTTCAATCAGGGACTGCGCCATAGTTCCCGGAAAATTTATCTAGAACTAGATGAACTTCGGAAAATTTGTTTATACTGCTTGAAAGTACTCATATTGGTGCAGTTTTAGTTAGAAAAAATTCCGCGCGTAGTCATTTTGTGTTGTCAGTAGAACGACTCAATAATGCCGAAAATTCGAGATTTCACCAGACGCCATTTTGGGTGTGACGGAGAGGAGGACTGGTTACGAGTTTTATAATATACAGTAACATTAAAGACGCTATAAAATAACAAAATCGGCAAAGTTTAATATTTTCAGGGGTCATATCTGACTTATGACTGGTTTTGGTCATTTTAAAAGCAATGAGCCATGTAAGGATGATGTTGCAGCAATAAAAGAGTCTTTTTTAAACTTTTCAGCAACTTTCTCTCAGTAGAACTCTCCCTTTGCTTACAAATGCCTTTTCATTTAAAATTTGTAGGTAAATACCCCACAACTGTTTCTCAAATTACATGTCCTCAGGTGATATACAATTTTTGTTCTGGAGGAGGGTTAGAAATAACTGGTGACTTGATCTTGATCCATGAGAAAAGCATAACAAATTTGGTTCCAAAGTAGGAGCTTTGGGTCATGTATTATAGCCTAGAACCAACCCCCTCCCACCCACCGTGAGGCGAGGGAGTCACATTTGATAGATAAGGCCATGACTCTCGAAGTAATGGCCTAAAACCGCCGTGATGAGTTATTGTAGCCTATATCCTTATTAGTTTTCCTTTTCTTTTTCATGTTGTATGTCATTTCCGCCTCCCCCTTTTTAACATTTTTTTGCGACATCCTCTATCTATATGATATTGTAATTGCCATCATAAATTCAGTAACATCTGTGAACATAAAGAAGGCTTTTATGGCCAGCCGAAATATTGTTGTATAAAAAACAGTACACGTTGTCAATCAGTTTTACAGTAGTCTTTGGACATATGGTTTTTTGCTTTTTTAGTAATATTTTAGCTGATTAGATATCTTTTCTAGAGATCCAACGTCAACAATCAACGAGATCTTTGTCCATGGTTTTTGCAGTAATTATAGTTACCAGAATTACTGCTTACAGAAGCACCTTTTCAAAAATTCAATAAGAGCAACAGAATAGACAGTCTTCTTTCGAGCTTTAACTTTGATGGAAGAGTGACTAACTATGGAACGCATCTGAGTGATCTCGAGGCTTTCGATTTCTGACTCTGTCATCAAGCACAGGTTTTTGCCAGAGAAACGCAAGGGATGAGTTATTTCCTGCCGTAATACTACCATCACATCCGAGTGGACGGCCGCCTGCTGCCTCACAAATTCTTCAGCCTCATCATCGGAGTCGGTGGCATCTCTTCTCTTACATGCCATCCTAGAGAAGAATGCGGTGATTTGTAGTGGTCGTAGGAATTCCCTTACCCCGTGAAGATTCGCTTCCCGCTCTGATCTCTCAAACATCTCATCTCCTCCGAGACGTCATTTGGGTTTGCTCTGATCCCCGTGGTCTCACCGTGTTTAAATTTGTCCTCCAAGTACCTCCTTTGCCTGGAATTAAACCGATGGCGTGGCATTGCGGACTCCCGACAAGCCCATCCCTCTGGCAGACAAGGGGAACCACTGTCTGTTTCTGTATCCGGCATCGTCACTTCAGGATGGCTCCCTCCAGCCTCAAGACGCTCTGCGTAACTGATCTTCGCTCAGTCAATAAGTGAGACACTCTCGACCCGATGAAATTGGTGTTTACCGTACATGAGGTGCTGCTCCAGCCGTTCGTATGTCATGTTGGACTTGGTGCATCCGTCATCTGGGTATGGAAACAGGATAGTATCAGCTAGGCTGGCATTTGCTTGATGGGTCATTTCGGTGGTACAGCCCTCCTTGAGTAGACTATCTATATGGATGTCGCCGGCTTTGGATGTCTGGATTTCACTGACACAAACTCTCCTTTCCCTGGCCTTTCAGCTATCCATTAAAACTGGTTATCGTGTGGTATTCCTGAGAGAAAAGTCCAAAATAAGCTAGTTTTTCTTAATAAGGGTGTAATTTATGATACAGTGGCATGGGGTTATAGCTTTATTGTTAAATATTACCATGCATCCCCTTCGAGAACAAATGGATGACGTGTGCGTGCTGCGAAACCAATATATTATAGCGGACAGAGATCCATTTTACCGCGAACGCGAGTAATTTTCCTTCACCACCACCTCTTGGTTGAACATACCGGAAAATGACGTCCAGGATCGGAAATTAGTAGGATTATCTTGCTATAGGCCGGGTTTACTTATTATTGACTACCTACAGTCTTCAAGGTCTCGCAGCTCTCACAACGTTAACGTAGATTATGTTGGTGATCACAGTGGTGGCGATAGCTCTCCTTTCAAGCATCACTGAGTGCAAATACTCTGCAGTAGTCATGAATAGTACCAGCCACGGAGCAGTGGATCTGTGAACAAGACAATCATGCTGTTGCACCTTCACACAACGAAAACGCAATCACTTTTGATATACTGTTTATATCTTTCTAAAGTTATCCTTGACTTCTGCAATTACAGCCTCATTAGCCCCATTTTTCACCAAGGTGTCAAGGAGTGATATTAGATCATCAAATCCGCACCTGCTTTGTGCCACGTAGCTTTCTAGCCCCCGTAAACTCCTTCGAACTGACGCCTCGCATGCCTCAGACAAAACTCTAAACAGCGTACGGCTCGAGGGCGGAGTGTAATTCACCTCACTACAATATTGATTATATTGGTTGATCAGACGAGATGACAACACTGTCCATATTATATCGGCAATGTCGATCTTTGTGCTGCTGCTTAATGTCAGGGTTTTTCGACCACATGGGAGGTCCTAGACGATTGTAGAAGACGTGATAAAGTCCAGAAAGTGATCTATCTTGGTAGAGTCCACTTTTCTCTTGTCTGATTGGCCTCCGATTGTACAGTAAGTCCTGTGCCTACCTCAAGCGTGTATCGTCTTGCCACCGTGAACTCATATCTTGTTAGTCGAGGTATATGTGCTACCATTCCTGCATAGGTCACTTTACTGGTCGCCAGACTTAATAGTTGGCGCCTTGTCTCGGAAGTATCTGCTTGTTTGTAAAACTCCACTACAGCTAATAGAAGATCACTGCCATTATGCACAGACCCAAGGAGGTGGCTAACTTCGTTCTTTCCTATCACTGCCTCCCCCAATTCTGGAGCGGACTGCGACCTCACGGTTTTTAATACCTCTGAGATTATTGTACTAGCTTTACGGATGTAGCATACACGTCTTTTCGAGGTGGCGTCAGTCCATGGACGCCTCATAATAGATCCGAGAGGCCCAATACTGCACTCATCCACAAACCATTGCAATTCGGCTACCTTACCTTCGACAGTGTTGTCTAGAGGTTTAAGATATTACGCACATGTGGCTTGGCTGATGCTGTCATCAGGTGTAGATGTTGTGGACTACGTCTCCTCACAGGACGACGAAGGCTGGAATAGACTACTGTCAGGGCTAAAGGCCAAACGCTGTAGATCTCTTGATATCTTTTCTATCCCCTCTTCTCGAATAAATTCCGGGAAGCTTACCTAACTGGTTCTAGAAACGCTGTCAATGGCCTACATTGAAATGCAAACATAATGTAAACTACTACACAATTGCTTGCAGACAATGGCACAAGAACCTCTTCTGTCTTCATTCGGCATTCTTTACAAAGTTTGGATGCAGTTTTGTGGGCCCTTTTTTAGAAGTAAGCTATTACCTCTTATTTCTTTCCTAACTCTCTTGAAACGTGTAATGTTTTATACAAATAATTTTTACTATTTTTTTATTATTATTATTAGTACCATTATCAAAATCACTATCATTATAACTACTCTTTCACAAAATTGGCCAGGGCGATGCGCTTTCTCGCTTTTTTCTGTCCTGTCCCTTGATTTCCCCAAGCCTAACTTAAAGACTGGGTACGAGTCTGCCCCATTACTAGCGTATCGCCACAAGATGCCCAACACAATAGTTGCCTGTGGTTTTATAGGTGTTGTGGAGAGGACAAAAAAACGAAAAAAGAAGAGTCAGTCGGCTTAACAGCCATAAGGAATTCACTATAGTCGTTACAGTCACTACTTTTCCTCTCCTTTTGTGAATTCTTTTGATGTGTTGCAATGCTCGTGTTCAGCTTTTCACGACACTGCCGACAGATCGCTTAAAGAAAGACAACAATCGAGAAGGACTTTATTAGTGAATACGGTAGTTTGTGCAACACTTTTAATAAAGACTGAATATAATGCAGTTGAATAACTTAGCCGACGGGTATAAGTGCATGATCCAGTCCTGTTTACGATTTCCTCTAACGGCTTGCTACTGATAGTGCGATCACCCGTGTGATTTATTGAGCGGTGAGATGCGAACCCCTCTGGGACCTGCCAAATCTTTTTACGTCCTCTCCATTTTATACCAAAGGTATATCGATGCTCTGGACACACCATGCAGTCTAGTTCAACGGTTCCCGAATAAACTCCTAATATAAAGTTACGTCGACTATGACCATAATTCAATTACAGATGTAAGGGATATGAAAATGTCCTCACCTGCTTTTCGTAAAATCAACTCTTTATCAGACAACACGTCCTTTCCACGTATTTTCAACATTACTAAGTGTCCCGTAATTCCGCGCTGACAATCACTTGATGCTCGTAAATTACAGTACCCTTCACAGTAACTGGACCGCACTCTACACAATATAACTTTCTAATCCCTTTTTTATTTAAGTTTTTCCACCTTTACGAACAAAGATATCTGAAATTCACTTCTTTTAAGTGATTGTGAGTGTGGGAATGTTTATAAGCGCCTCAAACTTTCGAGCACGTCTGGCGATCTTGGCAGGTGGACAGGAGAGTTTTTCACAGTCAATGAATATGATGGCCTAAATTTTAAACTGTCCTCTAGGAAAACAAGAGTTTCGAAAGAACATGATATTATGAATAAGTATCCAGTAAAGTGTGTCCCGGGAAAGTTACGAACAAATAGAGTCTACATTGTTTGATGCATGTATAACTAGTTAAGCGAACAAATCCTTTATTGAATTAAAGCGCTAAACTTTGCGGGTACTTTCCTACGCATGCACATCACCAGAAATCGGGAACATTTCGAGCCCGTTTCGAAACGTCAGAGGTATATCGTATTATTGACAATTCCGAATAAGGCAGCGGTGGAAGTAAAGTGAACACGTAACTTTCTATTTTTGCAAAACGCCGCCAGAGAAAGGCCTTGTATCTTATTATCCCAAAAAGCCAAAGGAGACGTCAAAACAAGGAAAATGGCGATCAAATTGTGCAGTTACAGGACTTATATCTTTCGTGTTCTTCCTTCTTAAAATTGGGGTATTTAAAAATGGCGTACTGGGCTTTTTAAGCCCTGTAAAAATACGAAGAGTCTCCCACCTCAAGGAAAATTTGTGGGCCAACATATTCGACCGTTTACAAGCAATTTAGTTGAGTAAACCTCTGCAGAATGCATATCGAACAACGCAGTTGCGAGTCTTCAAAAGGTTGTTCCAACTACAAAAGAATTGTAACACCTAGTCGAAGCAGATTTTAAGAGTTTGTGCGGGAAAATGGAGTCAGAATTACGAGTTTACTCTTATACCTTGGGAAAAGGTAGGCTTGAATTTGAGTATTTCTTTTTCGTAGCTATGGACGCTTTAACCGATGCAGGCTGCACTTTGAACTACGCAAAGAAAGAATATCCCATTCTTAGACAGCCATTTTGAAAAAACAGTCTTTTCATTCTGAAAAAACATTTTCTTATACTGTTTCAGCGCCAATTTGCTTGTGACACGAGCACCGCGCGCCTCCGCCCTATTTTCCCAAATTTCTAACAGTGAAGTGGGGCATGAAAGTTTTTATTGGATTAACCCTTTACATACTAAATGAACACATATGTCCAGATAATACCGTTACTACTTTTGATTCTTGTTTCTTGTTGAAATTAGGACACAACATTATGTAAGTGTGTAAATTGTGCCGGCTAGTTGATGTGACACCTATTGCAACCTAAAACGCCCACAATGATTCCTGATTTTTATTGCAGTGAACCGTTCGTATGGCAACAAATTCCAAAGTCCAGCATTTTTCTCCAACAGCAACACCAAAAACATGTCGATCTTTTTAGGTAAAAACTTGCTAAAAGCATAAAAAAAAAAAATCAAATCACACCTCAGGTACAGAACTTGGAGTTTCGCAAGAAAATTCCTTCTCACTTTATCTGCCAGCCCTTGGTTCTCCATTTGATGAAAGCCAGTGTCGCGAACGCAACCGTTGCCTTGTTCATGCCCGAAAAGAAATCTGGGTAATTCCACCATAACTTGAAAAGGCAACTCATATCATTTCCATTTCGAAGAATTATTAGAAGCGTCGGGCCATCCAGTCCTACAAGCAAAATATCGCATCGATTGAAGTTTTTACCGGTCAAAACTTGGCCACATAGCCTTGGTAGGTCCTTGAAGCCATCCACAGATGGGCCCGAGAGACAACTTCACTTGTGAACTCGCCAAGCTAGCAGTAATGCATCGTGGCGGTCCAGTCTACGTGAAATCATCTCTCACCTCTGTTTTCCTTCAGAGGCTTGCCTCTGCCCACATTCCAGCTTGATGATGTCGTCGTGAGGGCTTCAGTCGAGGGAAAATGGCTCGAAAAACACCTATAAACGGCCAGAAAAGAGAGAAACCAAATCGATTTGAACGCATCCAAACACGAACTGTTGATCTAGGTCATGTGACCCCAAGGTCTGAGCCCATGATGTCTCAAAACCGCAAATATTGTAACGGATGCTCCATATAAGGACCAACAAAGTGAAGTTAAGTTTGTATCGCCAAATTACCACTGAAAAAATATGGTCTTTTACGTATTCAAAAGGTTAAAGAAACGTTGCTCGTGTGTATGAGAAGATGCGAAGGTTTAACTGCACCAGCGTAGCAAGGAACGCAGCGAATAAATCTATCAGACTTGACGCACTAGCAGAACATTAAAAACAATGTACACACACTGTTGGTTACTGAGGTGGATCCAGGAGCGGTTCGGGCGGTTCGGTCGAACCCCTTAAATTGTCCTTCAAAATGCTGGAGATCATGTTTCCGAAGACCTAAGTTTCAAAATCGCCTAGAGGAGCATGCCCTCAGACAATTCTCCGAACTCCCCTTGATTAAATCCTGGATTCGCCTCAGGGTTATGAAATAAAACACATTCAAAAACAAATAAACAAAGCAGTTTTTGTCAAATTGCATAGTTAATTGCCCGCTTTTGTATTATCGTCACACCAACCCAAGCGACAGAAGTTCAGAGAGCGTCTCAAAAAAGTCAAATTTTGGGCACTTTTGAGGTGCTCTCCTGGAAACACACAGAGACTGCCCGCGGAACTTTTTATATCAAAAACTTCACCAGCATAAAATGTTTCAAAAGGTATAAAAACTGAACTCTCTCAGCATAGATAGATAGATACTTTATTATAAACACCTTGCAGCCATAGGCTGAATCACGGAATATTTACAATATTGGCCTATTGAGTATTGAGAAAAAGAGAGTCGTCTTTCAACATGATTTTGTTGGTAAAAACATCATTGATCTAAACAATATATGTATATAGATAAAATTGATAGATCACTTTTAACAATTGAATAAGTTTCATTGGCTACAAAGGTTTCGGAAAATTGTTACGGATTTTAAAAATTTTGAAATTTTTCCACTTTTTCAGCACAAAATCCTCCCTAAAAGTAAACACGTCCCGAAAGAAAAATATTTAGTTTAAGGCAAAACAAATTATTCCGATGAATCAGGCATATGATAGACTTTATTCTGAAAAAGTTTCAAAATTTGTGATTTTTGGGCCAAACCAACTTTGCTCGATCCTTACAGGCAACGCCTCCTACAATGTTAGTTTCCAGTCAGTATGATTATTTCTGTGGTTATATCAAATTTTTTATTTTCGTATAGTCTACTTTCACCCTTAGCCAAATCATGCTGAGAGGATCGAAGTTGAGGGGCGATAGTGTGGAAGCAGTAGTAGTATACAATATTTAAAAGCGACTCCTAAAGACATTCTCAAAGCGCTTGCAGGACAAGCAAAGAGTACTGTAGGGCTTCATGAAAACAGCAATAGCAGTAATATAATCTAAAGAGCTATATTGACAATAAGAATATGAAAAATATACATATTTCAAGGAGAACTTTGAAGTCTCTCTAATATTATAGTGGACAAAAAAACTTTCCTCTCTGCCTATAATAATACGCACCTTTAGTGTTGTTAGCTTCTTGAAAGGGGCTTATGGAGTTGTAAATGAAGATGCAGTGAGTAGCTTTAGGCATTCAAGCACACGTCGAAGTGGAATTTTTCCCCAAAAGGTTTCAGTGTCTTGGCTGACATCAAGATACACTACAAGTAAAAAATATAGACGAAACCCTATTTCCCATTAAAATCAATTTAAAAAATCTTAAGATTTGTTTGCCTATATTAGAGAGTAGCAAACTATTTTACTTGGGATCTACGCGTGTTAACCCTTTGAATGCCAAGGACGTATATATACGTCCTAAAATAGGACCCTCAGATACCGAGGACGTATATATACGTCCTCTGACAAGCATTTTGTTTCTTTTCTCGGTCGTTCAAGGTTTTTATCCGTGGTTGTTTCAAAGGACCTGGGAACAATTTGAGAATCCGCTGACCACAGAATTTTGCACTGTGGCACAACATAACACCCAGAAGGCTTTGTTTATTTTCGCGGCAAATCCTTGCCAAATCCAACATGGCGGCCAGCACACGTCGAATGACAGCTGAGGAAGTTTTGGTAGAAGTTTTCGCTGATAGAGACTCTGATATGAGCGACGAAAGTGATGGAGATGTTTCAGAGTACAATGAAAGTATTTCGAGCTCGGAGGATGAAGATGAAAGCGGGGAAGAAGTCGAAGAGATCGACGAACTCGAAAGCGAGAATGAAAATAACGAAGATAGTGAAAGTGAGGAGGACAATGTCGCAGCTAAAAAGAGTTATACAATGCCAAAGGGCTCAAATTGTTGAGTAAAATTATTTTATGAAAAATCCAATATGGCCGCTGGTTGCGAGGCATGCACCTGGGTTGGCATTCAAAGGGTTAAGGAAGACCTCGTTGACATAAAGATTTGGTCACTTGCAAATGCAAAATAGTGTGCTTGTGGTTGAAAAGATAGGTACTTCTTATAAGTGATCATACTACAGTCCGAAATACGTGCATAAGCATTCCAAATTTTGAATTGGAAAGAAGATCTCCTAGTCAAAAAAAGGTTCTCAATAGATATCTCAGTTAAACGATAATACGAAACGCGGTTTTGCCAAGTAATGGTTAGAATTTATTATAACCCTTTAATTCCTAAGATTTGATTGTTAATTCTACCCTTTAGCTGCTAAACATTTCCTTACAAGTTCAAGGTATAAGAATTTGGTGTGGGATCAAGATAACGACCCCTACCTGAAAAGTCTGATTATCTCATGACATGTTTATTGGATAACGTATGAATATCATTGGGAGAAGCTACGTTAGTTCACTTAAGGGAGTTATGTGGCCAATGACCGGCTCAACATGTTTTCATTTGCCTACGCTAAGAACTTGAAACTCAAGAAGCTAGAGTTTCCCACGGCTATTGCCTTGGGGAACTCTTACGCTTCTTTTGTGGTCTCCATACTCCCCACGTGCTCCATAACTCGATGGTGCACGCTAAAACATGAACCAATTGTTAATTAAACGGGAAAACTAGCGAAGGTGAAGCTATTCTATTTGCTACAATAGTCATAAGGGATTGCTGCTGCTCCACAAAAGTCTACACTTAAAAAGTAAACACATTGAATGTGGTTGCCTAGCAATCAGAGTTTCCTAAGATGGTGCTGCAGCTTCCTCGTATAGCTGAGTTATCATCTTGTGACACTTTGCTGCATCCGGTCGATTATCAGGTTCTTTATCCCAGCAATGCTGCATCAGATAGTGCAAACCAGTTGGAGGCCTCTTCGAGCCTTCGATATGCGCAGGTCTTGCGCCGTCAAGCACCTTGTCATAAAACTCCTTCACATTTCCTCCCACCTCAAGAAGGGCTCTCTTACCGTACCACATCTCCCAGAGCATTATGCCGAAGCTGTACACGTCTGCTTTGTAATCGTACAAACAGGACTTGATCACCTCCGGAGCGAGATACGTAGGAGTTCCTGCCATGGTACCCATGATAGCTTTGGCTTCTTTGGAAACACCGACATCGGCTACTTTGGCTACATCTTCTAGCGACAGCTGTGGGAAGATAAGTTAATATCCATGTAAACTGATACAGCTTATACACCGAAGTCCAAAGATTTCCCTCTTAAAAGAACGCAAGGCAAAGCTTAAAAGAAAACAAGGCACCTGCATGCCTTAACGTGTGATGCGTTGTCGTTATCTACAATCAACCTTGGTTTTACTTGGAAAATAACCAATTTTATGCTGACTCTTTAAAGTACAGGAATTAAATCGAAAAATAAATAAGAAAAAGAAAAAGTCAAAAACAAGGAATATGATGTGCGGCTAGCCAGTAGTTCCAATTCTAAACTTACCAATATATTTTCCAGCTTGAGATCTCTGTGAACAATACCTTGTCCGTGAATGTATTCCAGAGCACCGGCAATGTCTTTTGCCCATCCGATCACATCTCTCGTAGCTGTAACAGATGATGATGGCTCACTAGGGATAATGCTTTTTTGCCGGAAAATGTGCCTCATCAAGTTTTGCTTACAGAGCTCCATCACCAGTATTGCTTTCAGCTGATCCCCTTCCTTATGTAGTGCTGCACCATAGAACCTCACGATAGTGGGATAATTTAGTTTCCTACACAAGGAAATACGTATGTGTAAAATAACCTACATGCATTTTTCGATACTAGGAGGAAGATTTTGATTCTCAGTCAGAGCTTCTTTTGCTGGGAATTATTTTGCTAATTCTCANATCTCATCCCTTAATTGTACACTCTTCTCGTGTAAAGGTTTGTAGGACTCCTCTATCTCTTTCTTAGAACGGCTTTCTTCGCTCAGTTGTTGACACAACATTTTGTCCCCCTCTATGAGCTGAGGTATCCGATCTAAGACCTGGTTAAGACAAACCTGAGCTTCCTTAAGCTGTTCCACCACTAATGACCTTAGATTTTGTTCTTCAGCTGCTTCCTTGAGATATTCTTGGGAAGCTTTTACCATGAAGCTGCACTTGTCTTTTTCGTATTTTCGCGTGCTATTCCAGTCTTCCAACTTCTCTTTAACGGCCCAGGCGCCGACTACCGGGACACTGACTACCAGGACAACTAGACCGACTGGAACCCAAATTGGGCTTGTGACCCCAATGAGGACTTTTTCTGCGACGCTAAAGTCATCTGATGCGAGAGGGCCACTTCCTGAGTTGGCAGCATCTCCAGCTAAGAGAGAACCCTCCAGCGTTTGAAGCTTACTCTCCACGTAGCGGAACCTCTTTTTAAAGTCTTCAATCAAAGAGGAACGAGCATCGGAAAAGACATGATTCTTTTCTTCCCATTCCTCGATCCTCTCTTGAAGTCGCCTCATCAGCGCCTTTTGGATGTAGTTCTTGGTCACCTCCCAGCTTTCTTCCGTCTTCGGAACATCGTCTAATGTGCAAGAAGAAAACTTCTCCATAAATTCTGGAGACTCAAGATATCTGGACAGTGCATTCAGAGCAAGGTCTGTCTTGTCTTCGAGGTACGCCTTCAGCTCCTCGTTTACGGTACCTTGCTGACTTTCAATACTTTGAAGGCGGTCTGTGATCAACTTCATTTTCTCAGCCAATTTTTCATGATCTTCGAAAGAATTACGCATGAATGCTTTCGTGTGGTAGGCCATACGTGCAAGGAGGTAGTGAAGCCACCTAAGAATAAAGCTATAATTGTAATTGTCTGCCATTTTATTTCTCATGCGTATCACGATATCTATTTAATATGCATGCATATCTTTCAGGGAGGTTTTATAATTTTAATATCAAATTAGAAACCACCGTCCTCTTTCAAATATCATCGCATTGTTCATGTTGACTATTTTTCTTCAGATAGTTCTAATCTTTGTGGCTGACATTGACTGTAAGCTTACATTGCCAGTTCCATTTTAAGCATGTCTAGGAAGGATACCTATTGGTAAGTACCTAATAAATTCACAAAAATTCTAGTAGAACTTGTTCCCTACTGCTATTCAAAACTTCTGTTATTCTGATATGCAGCCACCGATTAATTATCCCGACTCCCTACATTTCTTTTGCACATTATATACTCGTGCTGGTAATCACATGATTTTGCATATTGTTGGAATTGAAGGAGCCCGAGTATTATTTTAGAAACCAACAAAATTCTACAAGCTCGTTGGGTGGGTGCAATTTTTAGCCTTTGTGAGACATCTCTCGATGCTTACTTTTCCAAATTTCTACAAAAAAATTATGTGATTACTTATTAGCAACATAAATGACTTGTCATGTACATTGTTAGAAGATATTGTTATCAGAAGGAAATCAAGTTCTTAAACAACTATTTAGTCGTTGCGGATGTCAAGCAAGTTACCTCCATTGAATTTGAAGTCTTGCTTCAATACTTTTCAACACCATGGACTTGATACCATTCATGAGTTCACCAAACTCTTTCGTGACTACTCCAAGCTCCTGGGCTCTACAAGCTTCTTTTGCTGACATGTAAACAATTTGAGATTCTGGATCTAAATTAGGCCAGCACTGTGTGAGTTTACTGTGC